ACCTACAGGGCACACACACGCCTTACACCAACATGCACACATGTTCTATACACTCATCTGAACGTTAATATACTCATCATGAATTAACATAGATGCACAATATATATTTATCAAAAGCACAAACAAATGTATATTTACACATACCCACATATAGACAAGTCCATGGACAAACAGATATATGTACTCAATACACTTGCACTGTGAAAGCTGGTATGCAAATGGTATTCACACAAACACACAACTATACAAACATGGGTGTGCATATGTACTTTACTTCCACATTTCCATACATAGTAGCAATAAACAGATGCACCAGTATCTGTATATTCATAACAAAATCACACATCACAGCTGTCCATACCTGCATGTAGAAACACGTATGTGTACACACACATGCACACACAAGCTCAGCAGCTTTGTGCGCCCTGGCACACACTGCCTCTTCCGGCTCCATTGTTGCTGAGCCACCCGGCAAAGGTGCAGAGGCACAGACACGTAGTTCCACTTCACCTGAAAACCCCCAGCCCCTGTGTGCGTGGGAGGGTGAACCAGACACCCTCCCTGCTGGGGGGGGGGCACAGTGGAAAGTATGACCCGCGTTGGCTCACACAATAAGAGCAAAGGTGAGGATTTTTTCCACCTTGTTACCTCACTGTGTCAGAGGTGACCAAGGTCACCATTGCTAATCCTCATCCGATTACCCCCACCAACCCTTGGGGACATTCAGGTCTAACAACCATGTACTAAGCAGTTAACTCCCAACACCCGACCCTGCTGTGTGGCAGGAGCTGGGCCAGGGGTAGAGGTGAGAGAGTAGCTGGACCTGGGCCCCATCCTTCCTCGGGGCTCCCGGGGTGCAGGCGTGGAGGATGGGGTCAGGGAGAGGCTCTTACCCAGGTCCCTAACAGTATACTCACTTGACAGCCAATTTGCAAAGTGATCAATCTCTAAGTGGCTGATTGGCTGAACAAACCAAACTGACCAACTTACTGTTAATTTTTTCTTTCAGTTTGAAAGTATACAGCAATTTTATTGAATGGATTGGCATTTGTTTTCCTTTTGTCTTAGTAACAACATTTTAGGAATGTTCAGATGGCCAAAAGCTAAGGGTGGGGTGGTTTAGTTTAATAAAGGCCCTTACTATTTTTAACTGGAGAAAGACTTTCTGGGGACATCCATCAGGAGCAGGGCATTCTGGGAACCCGGCAGCATGACAGGCTTTCTGGACCCACTGACCCCAGGTGCCACGTGACCTGTGCCTGGGGTTGACTCACCCTGTGATATTGGCCATGTCCCTGCTCCAGTCTGGGCCTCAGACTCTTCATGGACAAAGAGCTCATTGCTAGGTCCTTGTTGACATTGATGAGTCCCCCTGGAACTTCCTGTGACCTCAGCCTCCCAGTGTGGCCAGGGTCCGGGTTGTGGGCACCAGGGAGGGTGCTGACTCTGCTGGCAGGTGAGGAAAGCCCCGTTCGGAAGTCAAAGTCGTAACAACCAACACTCACCCATACTGTGTGGCTGTTTGTCTGAACCGTGGCAGTTCTGGGTTCTGCTCCCTGCCCCAGGCAGCGGGGCCTAGACGCTCTGACCGGGGAGAACCGAGCCATAGCGGGTGGGGCCCCGTTAACTTTCCTTTCCTGGTAACACACTTGCTAACCTCATTTCCTTTTTCTGAAGGGAAATGCCATTGACATCACACAACTGGATTTTCAGCAAGGCCAAATGAGAACTCGTGATCTTCTTGCTGGCCAAAGGATGCGTGCGTCGGCTGGACACAGATCTGTCCAGTGGCGATTTGGGCAAATTCTGATCTTAGATTCCTACTTGTTGCTTCAGAAATGAGACCCACAGGCCAGAAAGGGGCAAAGACATGCCCTAGGGTCCACAGCCAGACAGTGGGGCGAGGGCCAGAACCCAGGCCCCTGACTCTCAGCCAGGGCTCTGGATGTAGGGGCCTAACCTGCTCCTCCAGCTCTGTCTTCATAACGGTTCCAACATCCACCATGCTGCCCAGGCCAGAAACTGGCCCCAGCGTAGTCTCCTCCCCCCACGGCACCTTCTCTCTGCAGCTACCTGTCTCCCCCAGTCTATCCGGAAGCTCCATCTCAGCTCTGGCTACCTCGTCTCTCTCTAGAATCCCCGCCCAGGTTCTGCTCAGGTCTCCCCACACCCACCCAGACCTCTTCCTCCAATCCTTCCAGCTGGCTGGATGACGTTGCTAAAACACAGTCTTCGTTCGGGGCTTCCTGGCAGGGCATTTGAGGCCCTCCAAGGTACCCCCCATCTTCTTCTCAGTCACGACTCTGATGAGCCCCCTTGTTCCCTCAGTGCAGAGCTTACTTGCCATCCGGGGTGCAGAACCGTCTTGCACTTCCCCTTCCCTCTGCTGGGACCCCCTGCCTCCACCTGCACATTCCCGCCTAAACTCACTCCCAACCAGGAGCAGCCCTCCGGGACCTGTCCCCACCACAGCCTCGGAGGGAACTGACGTCTTTGGCTGATATGTCTGAGTCCTCCTTCCCACCTCCTTGGGGGCAGCAAACACATTCTCCGGTGGAAAATTTCGAGCCCACGCAAAAAGAGGATGGTACAAAGAAGCCCACCTGTTCCTCACCTGGCTTCAACCCTCACCCACTCCAGCCGCCCTTGCGGCATGCACGCCCCCAGCTCCTGCCCACTGGACCACTCGGAATGACTCCAAAACAACATACGGAGTATTTCATCCATAAATACTGTCGTATGGGTTTCTAAAATGTAAAAGTGTGACTAGAATGCAATTGTCATACTTATATTTTAATAATATCTTCAGTATCATCAAATACACAGTAGTGTTGAAATTCTCCAACTCTCAGAATAACAATACCAGTAGTATTACCAAAAATATACGGTGGCTGAAAACATTCACAGTTGGTCTGTAGTCCTTTTGTCCTCAGGGTTCATACCCTACGAGTGACATGCAGTCAGGTCTCCAGGTTTCAAAATCGCTCCGGATAATTCAGCTCTGTGTGGTGAAGCCATGGGTTCGAAACACAGGCTTATTTATTTAACTCCATTTTAGATGTTTTGGGATTGCTTCTGACTTTTATTTTGATTTAACTGTGTTTCATTGTTATGTAAAGCATTTACCTGCTTCCAAAATTAATCTACAAAACAAGGTATATTCTGGGAAGTCTACCCCTGTTCCCTTTAGCCTATTTCTTCCCTTCTCCAAAAGATAATAATTTTAAACTTCATTTTTAAAATATGTTAACTGGTGTTTTGAAATTAGAGACAATATGCATTCCCTTTCCTTCGTAAACGACAGCGTGCGCAGACATTTCATTCCGCTGCGCCGTCCCACGTAGCCTTGCGCCCTGCAGACGGCGTCCTGGGGCCCTGCACACGGAGTCCCTGCGTTGCCCCAGAGGAGACTCCTGCCCCGGCGCAGCTACGCAGTCGTCCCTCGTGTGGACAGACAGCCCCTCCTGATGGACGCTTGAGTGGTTTCTAGGATTTTTACTATTCCAGGTGGTGTTTCCATGCATATTTTTATGCTTGCATCTTGTCTTATTTTTGCTATCCCAAAGATACACGTCTTTGGAATAGATTCCTACGAGTGGGATGCTGGGTCAAAGGGGAAACACCTTAGCATTTTTCTAGAAATTGCCAAATTTCCCACCACAGAGCATTCCCTCCCGACAGTGTGTACAAGAGGGCCTGTTCGCCCACAGCCGTGCCAACAGAATATGTTGTCCCACGAGGGGGTTCCTGCCAATCTGGTAGAGGAGATAACGGTTAGTTTTAATTGGTGTTTCTCTGATCATGAGCAAGGTCAAACAATTTTTTATTTGTTTAGATTCTGATTCACTTTTGGGTCCACAGCCCTCAGCTGGCACAGATGAAGTTCTTAGGAGAGAGTTCTAGAATGAAGAAGGAATGGGAAACAAACCGAGGCTTGAGGAGGGAGGCTGACTGCCCGGGGCCACACGCCCAGCACTGGCGGGGTTGGAACCAGAACTGTTCTCCTTTCTCCTCCTTGTGTAATTAATCTTTTTCCAACGGAAATATAAACAAGTTTATAGCAGACTTTTTCTGACTATAAAGTGAATAGAAGTTTGTAGTAGAAGGTTTGGAAAGCACAGGAAATTATAAACCTAGAAAAAATTTTAATTTTTCTATCCTAAGTAGATCATTTTTAGCATTCTAGTCTATTTCCTCCCAGTCTTTATGCATTTTTTCAGTTACGATCACATGGCATATATGGTTCTGTGTTCTTTTGTCTTCACTCAGGAATTTTCCACATTAATAACAACTTTTTACAAGCATAATTTTAATGGCGGCTCATCATTTCAGTATCTGAATACACATGAGTATATTTGAGCCTTTCAGTGACTCCTGGGCTTCTAGATTATTTCCAGATTTTTCTATTATAAATAAATTTCAGCATGTTCACCTCTGTTCGCATTCTGGATTTTCCCCTTTAGGATTGATTCCTGGAAGCGGAACTCCTAGAATCCGAGTACTGACTTCCAAGTTCAGGGCTTTTCTTGGCTGTGCTCAGAGGAGATCGCTTGTTAAGCTTCACCTCTATGATTCTGCAGAGTCCCAGGCCTCGCCTGGTTCTCTGTGTCCATGACCTTGACTGGCAATACACTCTCATTCAAGTCAGGTCAGCAGAGGGGCTGAGCCGGGTGGGATGGAACCCACTCAGGGTGGAGAAGCAGGCTCCCCCATGCTTCTTGCCTTCCCAGGGTTGTGAACAGACAACCTGGAACCACCAAGGGGAAACCGCACAGGAGCAAGGTCATGTCCAGTGAGGGGCACTGGCATGCAGCAGTGCTGAGTGGATGCTACTTCCGCTGTGGAAGCCCTTGTCATCCAGTGGAACAGGTGGCTGGGCTCGGACCCTCCTGTCCTGAGAAGGGCTCCATGAAAGACTCAGACACGGCACCACTCACAGAAGGAGGGACCTGGGAAGGCTGACTGGAGAGGGCACCAGTTGAGTTTAGTAGGGAGGAATATAGGTCTTATCTGACTGGTGAGGTTGGGCAGTGGTCCATCATGAGGGATGCTGTATGCCAGGTCGTGGATCCCGCATCCCATCCTGGAGGTAGTGAAGCAGGCAGATGACAGAGTCAGGTCGGTATGAAGAACAATCCCTCTGGCCGTTGCATCAGTGGCCAGGTTGCAGATAGGAATGGGACAGACTATTAGAATGAGGCCAGCATCCAAGCAAGGGACCATGAAGCCAAATCAGCCCAGCAGCCATAGGGATGGAAAAGGAAGATCAAAACAAGAGACTTCGGGTACACAGTCACTAATCAAAGCAGAAAAAGTTATGCCAATTTACAACCTTCCTGTTGTGTATGGAAAGAGTCGTGGACTTGGAGTCAAGGTACCTGGGTTCTAGTCCCAGCTCTGTGTGACCCAGGGCAAGCACCTTGCCTACCTCTGGGCCCCAGTTTTCACTTTCGCACACCAAAGAGGTTGTACTGGGTTGTCTCCTGGGGCCCTTATGCTCTGAAACCCATAATCCTAAGGCTGCAAAGTGGCTGAGGTCCCTGTGGGGAGAGGAGGGAGAAAAACAGGCTGAGCAAAGGGAGCACCCTGGGCTGGGGCCTCAAATTCCAGGCTCTCTGTCTCCCTGTTCCATCAATCTTGCAACGTTAATGTCAATGGGGTGGCCTGGGCCCGGGCCAGAGACCAGCTGCGGAGGGAGAGGAGTTGTCTGGCCAGAGAAACAGAGGAAAGAATGCAGAGGTCCAAAAAAGCTGTGAACAAGTCGTCAGCTCTGGCTGGGTGCCCGGAGGTTTCGCAACTGTCCTCCTAGCTTGAGTATCAAGAGTGGGTCAGCGTGGGGAGGGCGCCTCATTCCTCCTCTGTGCCTCAGAAACTGAAGATGACAAGGGGCACTGAAGATGCTTTGGCTGCAAGTAAGAGTACACGCAGGCTCCAACATCTAAATAAAACAAGACAACGCACCACCTCACACCACAGCAACTCCAGGGTGTGTGGCTCCAGCACCACCATCAGCTCCTGGTGTCTTCAAGAATGCAGACTTTTCCATTTCTCTCTTGTCCTCAGACACTTCCCTTTGTGGTCCCTTGTGACAGCTGTCACTCTCCTCAGGATGAAAGACGGCTGACAATGGCAATCAATGGGAGCTACTGGCTTCCATGTGAATGTCCAGCAGGAGAGAGCAAGAGAGGACTTCTCTCCCAACCACAGGCTGTGAGTCCTTTTCCTTGGTTCAAATAGGACGACTTGAGTCATTCCCAACTGATAACAGTCTCTTGGGGAAGGTCGTGTGCTGATTGACTTAGATTAATTGGGATCCAGTGTTAAACCTGGGGGTAGGAAGGATGAGCAGAACTGGGGTCCAATGAAGAAAGAAGAGGTAAATAGATGATGGATGGGCAACAGACAGCCACATGACCATAACCTCCATCTCCCATCAACTCATTGGATCCCTACCCAGTCCAGGGGCCAACAGGACAGCTGTTCTTTCTAGATGACCACTGAGGCCATTGAGGCATCAAAGTGGAGTGGCTCGCTTGGGTCACATGGTAGGTGAGTGGCAGAGCCTGAATTGAGAAAAATAAATACACAGCAAACAAACTGAGCAGGCCAGCCTTCCCCAGTCAAGCTCCTGGCCCTGGTCCCTCACAGGCAGGAAGCCTCCTGTCTCCTCTGGGCTTCCCCAGCACCTGTCCAGCCAGCGGCCCCCTGTCTCAGAGTCACCTCGCAGTAGTGGATGCCATCTCCCTGTGCAGCCCGAGCACATTCTCATTCATTCAGTCATGAGATGAGGCTGTCCAAGAGCTCAGGATCCAAGGCCAGGGGTGTGGGTTTGAAGCCCGACTTTGAGTTTCTTTGTCCATGACTTTGACCATGAACCTCACCTTTACCTCTTGACATACTGTTGGGTGTTCAGAAGAAATGAGGAGATGGTGCTTTACTGGCTGTGAAGTGCCATGGGAACCACCAGGTCTCCCATCTCCTGGTGGAAAAGGGTCCTTCCACGAGCCTCACTGGCACAGAGAGGAAACATCAGGAAACAGGCAGCCAGCAGGATCGACGACATAGCCAGGCGTGGATCCATCCACCTGCAAATGCATAGCCTGTATCTGTCAGTTGATAGAGGAGGAGACAGGTCCAGAGAGTGGCAATGACTTGCCCAAGGTCACACGAGGGTAGAACCCAGCCCCCTGGCTCGCAGCCCTGTCCTCTCTGCACCAGGCCACAGGGGTCAGCTGAGGTCCACTACCCGGACTGAGGGTGGGTGCAGCTGTAACTCAGTCCGTGACCGCCTGCACGTCTCCAAGTTTCTCGGGGGCCATTCTTCAGGGGTTCACTGAGGCGAGGCCACACTTCCCCTTGAGTGGCTTCCTGTTTTGGCCAAACAATGACTCTTGCTGGGACCTGGTGCCAGCTGGCTGCAGCTCTTGCCAAGGCCCTGATTCTTACATGCAGAGAGGGGAGACCTCAGCCCTGGAGATCACTGCTGGCCTCCCCAGGCCATGACCCCACACTCAGATGTGGCCTGTGGGTCCCACTGAATTCAGTAATCCCTTCAGGTGCCAATCACACACATTCAAGCACCTTCTGTCTGACAGGCTCAGTCTGAGCGCCTAAAACACAGAGATACATGGGGCAAGAGTGTAGTCATTCTGCATTTGTTCTCTGTCCACGAGGAGGAGGAGATTGTGCCAGGTACCAGTGATGCAGCTACGAGCACATCTGCTGACTGATTCATCTGTTCGTCTTCCCCGTGCCTATCAGGAGCTCAGAGTCCGCTGTGCCTGCCCGAGTGAACTAGTGCATCCAGCTCCTTCCGGCAGGAATGTCTCAGGGCACACTGGGGAAGGGGAACCAATGGGTGTGGGTAAAAATAATAAAGATGAAAACTTTTATGATGAGTTTTTAAATAAGTGAGTAAATCAAGATTCAGATATGCAAAGGGGGAGGGTAGAGCTGGGACCCCGACCCAGGCCCTCAGACTCCGAGCATTGTGCGCCCAGATGCCGTAAAATGCACCCGATCTGACATGAAGGTTGGGATGCCGTGAATGCGCCTATACGTAAGTGGAGTGGGGGCGCCTGCTGATGAATAAAATATGGGGGGCGACCAGACCACGGGAGGGAAATATTGAGTGCTCTCTATGTGCTAGACTCCTGGCCCGTTGTTGTTTTCACTCTATAGATGAGGGAAAGGAAGAGGTGAAAAAACTTTCACCCACATCTCACTGGGTGCTGGCAGTCTGCCCCATGCCTGTCCTCTGTCCCACTCCACGTCCTGGAAGAATGACTCTTGTGGATGCATCACCTTTCTTTTAGGTTTAGCCAATGGCAGGCTGTGGCAAGAGTCCAGCAGGAGAGGAGCAAAGGGTCAAAGTATTCGGTCTCCCTGCTCCTCCTGGGGGGCCACCATGCCGGTAGCTGCTATGTTCTGAGGTTACGGCTCCCAGGACCAACCTGGCTCCGGACCCTGCAGGCCTAGGCAGGTCACCGTGTCCGCTGCTGCTGGTCGGGGGCTCCTTGCCTTCTGCTGGTTCTCTTCACCATGCCCATCTTTCCTTTCATCTCTCTTCAGCCCCTCACCGAGAGTGGTCCTGTTGCCTGCTGGGATCCCAGACAGGACTGAGCTGGACCCTTCTCCCACCTTGCTGCCTTGCTCCCCGTGTCCACTGGGATGCCCCCCCAGCACCCCATCCACACCCGCCTGAGACAGGGCAGTGACTTGGCAAAGTCTGCTTTGCCCTGGGTATCCTGAATAGTTTGGGGGCTGGTGCTGCTGTGAAGACAATGAAAGAAAAGTTTCCAAAGACTGGGACCAGGTGCCTCCACATCTTCCATCTCCTGGGAAAGACTGGGTCTCCTGGGCTCAGGGCCTGGGAGAGCACAGTGCTCTGCTTGGAAGGGTGGGAGAGTAGCAATCTAGACCCAGGCTTGTCTGCTTCCACCCCTGAGCTGGGGTTAAAGAAGGTACTGAAGACAGGGGTGAGAAGCAGCAGAGGCTCTTCCTGCTGAGCTGTAGGACCCTTAGGGGTCACGAAAAGCAACCCTTTGGTTCAGCAGCCAAAACAGGCCCAGGAGTCAGGGGCATGACCAAGGTCAGTAGGTAGGTGACCCTCAAGTCTGCTTCAAGCCCAGCGTCAGCCCTGAGTATCACACACAGAACCCCACATGCTCTAGAGACCTTTGTGAACCGTGAGGACAGTGTCCAACATGCCCCCTTCCTCCTTACTCTTCCCCATGTCCCCTCTATCAGGGAAGGACACGAGAATCCCGGAGTCAGCCCTGACAGTCTCTCTCCCACTTCTCTCTGCACCCCAAACCCTTACTTTCTCCAGCTTCTCACCAAGTCCAGCAGTTCCACTTTCTCAACTGCCCTGGACTCTGTCATCTTCTCTCCAGGCCCACCCTGCTTCCCTAGTCTGGGCCTCAAATCTACACACAGTCACGAAATGACCTCCTCACTGGTCTCCCTGACCCTGGTCTTGCTCCTGCCAATCCATCTCCATTTAGTCTTTCAGAAGTACAAACAGAAGCAGGTCTCTTCTGTGCTGAAATGCAGCCCAGACTCGCCAACCTCAGTGAAACATCCAGGCCTCCCTCCAGCTTCACCTCTAAAGCAAACGATGGTGCACATCCACTCACCTTCGCTGGCTTCTTCAGGTGGGGCTCTGAGTCCGTTCAGAATGGCTGCCGTGAAAAGGGTTCCTTCTCATTCCCGCCAGAGCCTCTCTTAGTTTGGGTTCCTCCAAAACCAGGCTATACCACAAGGCCTTGGTGAAAGCAGTTTATAGAGGAGGTGACCCCAGGAAGGAGAGTATGGGGGTAGGGACAGTGAGTCAGGGAAGGAAGAAAAGCCCATGCCCAGGTGTGTTACATTCATCTCCACAGTGGGTGACAGGACCTTCCATTCCAACAGGACCCTGCAAAGCCCACAGACACCTCCCAGAAGCATCCAGCTGCAGGCTGGGAGGCTGGGAGTCCATCTGCTGACTCCCGTTCCCGTCAGGTGAGAGCCTGTAGTCTTCCTGGCTGCACTGCCTGCCCCCACAGTGGTAGTGAGGGACACGCAGCCCACACAGAAGCCCATGGCTCAAGCTTATGGTAAAACTCTGGCCATGGGAAGTGACCTCTGGCTGAAATCAGAAGTGACAATCGCCTCAGAGGCGGCTGCACAGACAAATTTCTCACTCCACCAGGCCATCTGACTTGTTGGCCCTCAGCTGCCCTCCGGGCATCCCACGCTATGGAAGAAGAGGCTGAGGTCAGAGTGCGCCTGAGGACCTCTGGAAGGAGCTTGGTGGTCAGACTTTCTGAGTTCACGTCCCACTTCGGCTGGTGCCTGCTGGGGGACCCCGAACAAGCACATCACCCTTGAGCCACTATGTCACACTCCAGTAAAATAGGGACAATCATTTCTACCATACAAGCTATTTCTGAGAATCAAATGTGCCCTTGGGAATGAATGCATAAAGCAGTCTGATGCCAAATGCAATGTTATGTCTTGTTTCTTCTCTCGCAAAGCTGCTGCCACAGATTCCTCCTCAGTCTGCTCCCTCAGCCGGGAGTACCCGCTCTGCTCCATGCCATGGGTTTAGCCTACGCTACCCAGAAACCCTGGCCTCCTGGGGACAGTGCCCATTTGACCTTGTCCTGGCTTTGGGCCAGCACATTTGCCACCCCCTCCCTCACTCCACTGCCTAGAGCAGAACTGGCTTTTGTGAGAACACAGAAGATTGACTGCATACCATGCGGAGATAGCTTATTTTTTTTTAATCCCATGAGCTCTTTCTGTTTTTTTTTCCTTTCCCAAATCTCTCTTCTGACCCAGTTGCCTCTCTCACATGGCTGAGTTTAGCTTGAACCAGCACCATCCGTTCTGATATTCCATGTTCATCCCTGCCCTTTGGATTCTGGCCACTACCCATCTGTTACCAGTGGAATTTTGTCACCCCCCCCCCAATCTTATGTTGAAGTCCAAGTCCCCAGCCCCTCAGAATATAACCTTATTTGGAAACAGGGCCGTGGCAGATGCTAAGTGGCTAAGATGAGACCATATTGAAGTAGGGCAGGCCCCTCATCCAAAATGACTGGTGTCCTAATAAAAAGGGGAAATTCGGGCAGGGAGACACAGACATGGGGACAAGGCCACGTGAAGACTGCAATTACATGGCACGAGCCAGGGAACCACCAGAAGCCAAGAGACAGAACCTCCCCCTGACCTCCCCCCACTTCCCCCCACCCCCCTTTAGCCCTCCCAGCCACGCCGACACCTTGGTCTAGACCCTCCAGACTCCAGGACTAAGACAAAGTCCTTCTGTTGTTTTGGGTTCCCACCCCCACCCCAGTTTGTAGAACATCGCTCTGGCAGTCCTAGCAAAGTAATACACTACTTACAAGGGCGACTGTTTTTGCTGCAAGCATCATTTTCCTATCTCTCCCTTCTAATTCAGCCTTTGTGTCTCTGTTTATGTGTTTACGTTTCTTCCCTCCCTCCTGGACTGTGAGCCCCTTGGAGACAGGACCCGTGTCATTCTCGCTGTTGCCTCCTCCCGGCCCGGCACGGGGCCTGGCCCCTAGGAGCCATTCAGCAAAGGTTTGCAGAAGACTCCTTAGCAGAGGTAACGTCGATGCCCTTGCAGGGTGGCCCAGGTTTGGACGGGAAGAGCTATCAGGGAAGGCATTCCGGGGAGGAGAGCAGCATGAGCAAAGGCACCTGGGCAGGAAAGGGCAGCGCAGGGGAGAGTGTGCACCCCGGGTGGCTGGGCTGTGGGATGCTGGCAGGGGCGAAGGCAGGGTGGGACAGAGGTGGGGAAACCCGGATGTTGCCAGTGTTTCAGGGAAGGTATTTAGTGGGGCAGGTGATGGGGGCAGCAAGGAGCCATGAAAAGGAGATGGAAGAACAGCAGGGGTGTGGGAAGTTTATTCAGCCACAGAACAGACTGAAGAAGGGAGATCAGGAAGTCTATGGCTGGGGCCACAATCCAGGTGAGAGGTGCTGTCAGTCTGAACCCCCGGGGGCATGAGGATGAAGAGATGAGAGACATTTAGCAGAAAGAAATGCCAGCCTGGTTTCTGATTTGTAGGGATTTCCCCCGTTGAGGTGCCAGCCTCCAAGCTCCTCCTCCTTCTGAAGATGCCACACTGAGAATTTCCATGATGTCTAGAGTGACATATAAATCACTCCACCCCCATCGCCTCTCTGACAGCTGTCAGTCTTGGTGAGAGAGCAAAAAACACCAAGGCACTTCCACCCCATGCTGCTGAGGTTTCTGGTCACAGTTCAAAATGTCAATTCATGGAGGCAGATGATTTTTTCACCTTTTTAAATATCATTTTTATCACTCAGAAATAATATAAGTTAACTGTATTATAAAAACTCTAAAAACAAGTACCATCGGATCTTATGAGTAGAAGGTGAAAATTGCACTGAGTAAAAATGACCCTGGATATTCCCTTCAGCGGAAGGACCTGGGACAGTGACAATTCAAAAGACAAAGGTTACATCGTGTGATTTTCTTTACCTTTTGACTGTGACCTCCTTTTCCCTGGAGCACTGAAGGCCGTGGTCTAGTTTGAAGTGGGTAAGAGGGCAGAGCTTGGAGGTGGCAGGTTGCGGGATTAAATGCTTGCTGGGCGTAGGTTCGTTCTGTGGGTAAGGCAGAGAAGACAGTAGAAATCACCTGAAATCCCCACGCTCTTTTTTTTTAGGGTGAACATCCTCCTTCCAGTGTTTTCTCCCCCTCGTGCACATTAAAAGCTACTCCCAGTGGAGCATGAAGCACCTCCTGAGGCGGTGACCTGGGAAAGACACATCACTTCTGTGGTATTTTTGCCAAAAAGGCAGAACCCAGCGGAGGAAAGAGCAGACAAACGCACCTGGAAAATGCGGTCTGCGAAACTGGCCTAGACGCAGCTGACGTGTCGGTGACATGACGGACAACGAGAGAGTAAAGGATGGTCCCTGACTAAAGAGGACAAAAGGAACAGGGCAGCCAAGCAGAATACATGGTCCCGGACGGGGTCCTGGCTTAGAGGGGACCTGGCTAGGAAGGACATTATTAAAGCATCCTGTGGAATGTGGATCTGGCTTGAGGATTCGACAGTGGGGATGTTGAATTTCCTGGACTGATAACTGTCTTATGGTTGTGTAAGAGAACGTCTTTTTTCCCTTAGGAAATACAGATTTAAATATTTGGGATAACGATGCAACATACCCCCAAATGGTTTGGGAAACGTGGGTATAGAGAGAGATAGAAGGCGATGAAGGAAAATGCTGATGACCGCTAACAGCTATGAGTCTGGGTGAAGGATGTTGGGAGTTCTTCCACCAATTTGACATCATTTCTGAACTAAAAGTTAAGAAAGAAAGAAGCCCGGTTGAATTCAGTCTCTGGGAGAAAATATTTGCAAAGGACATATCTGATTCAGGACCACTCTAAAAAAAGCCTATTAAAATAACAAAAAACCTTCCATTTCCTACCATATGCCTATGGAATGGAGTAAAAATAGCAATAACAATACCAAGAGTTGGTGAGGATGAGGAGCCACTGAAACCCGGGTACTTTGCTGATGGGAACTAAAAATAGAGCAATCGGGTCGGAAGACTGTTTGGCACTGTCTTTGAAAGTCAAACACACACGTGAAACAAGACCCAACACCCCCTTCCCAGGTGCTGACCCAAGGCGAATGAAGACTTATGTTCACACCAAAGCTTACTTACATGTGAGTGTTTTAGTGGTTTTATTTATAATTCCAGCCAGTAACTGGAAACAATTCAAATGTTTCTCCGTAGGCGAATGTTTGACTCGCTGTGGTACATCCACTCAATGAGTGGGCTACTATTCAGTAATAGGAAGGAATTTGTCCACACCATGGTTGAATTTCAAGAGCATCATACTAAGTGAAAGACTCAGAAGTCTGGGGACAGGGTGATTTCATTTACATGCATTCTTCAAAAGGCAAAAAACTATGGCAGAAAAACCGATCCGGGGTTGTTACGGGTGGGGGTAGAGAAAGGAGTTGACTGCAGAGGGGCCCAAGAGAACTTTTCGAGGTGAAAGAAATGTTTTGCATCTTGACTGTGGCGGTGGGTACACAACTGTACATGTTTATCTAAACTCCCGGCGACATGCATGAAGGGTGAATTTTACCAAATGGAAATTACACCTCATGTACACAACCAAACAAAGAAACCGGTTTCTCAAAGCTTCTCCCCTCCCCTACAGCTCTCCGCCAGATGCAGTTCAGCACCCTGTGTCAGAGAAAGGAGGGCTGTCTCGCCTTTGCTCTGAGTCTTCATCTTTGAGTCAGGCTCGGGCTGAGCGGGGTTCTGCACAAGGTAAAGGAAAGTGACAGGTCTGTTGGGAACGGAATCATTGTAAACAGGGATCAGACACCTCTGGGTGGCAGATGTCCAGACTCTGGCCCTTGCTCTCATGACGTAAGCTTTTTTCTGGTTGTGGAGCCTTCTTTGTGGTCTCCTCCTGCTGGTTCCTGGGCTTAGGGGACATACTTCTGGCTGACCATCCGAGCTTGCCCCCTCCATTCCAACTAAGGGTCCTCCTGTAGGCAAAAGGCAGACTGCTGGGACAGGGATCTTTTAGGAAAGCTCTTGCCCAGCTACCTTGCACTGTATCCAGTTGGTTCTCTTCTGGAAACATCCCTCTCTTTTGCTACCAAGCTCTGGAAGCACAGGCAGCTCCCACAGCGGCCCCCAGCCCCATATCAGGCTACCAGTAGGGTGGCCCCCACAATCCTCTTATCTTCAGACCTTTCCATGGAAGCGGTAGGCCCGGGCTCTGTGTCCTGAGAGCCCCAGTCACTTGGCTTGAGCTGTGTAGGGTGATGCACAGCACTTGGACATCTCCCCCCATAGAAAGCCTCAGCACCCGCCCTCCTCTGCCAGGTCAGCGCCTGCTGTGAGACTGGAGGCGGGTGATGGGGTGGGGATGTCACCCTCACTGCCGGAGGCCTGCTGGGTTGTGTCTGGTGCTGCTTTTTGAGGTTCTAGGGGAAAGGAGCAATCCTGAGACAGAAGAAGTCCCATTTAACATCTTATTACACATACCTAACATCATTTTAACAAAATTGAGATCTTTTATGTATTTTATAACCTGCCTTTTTACTACATACTCTGTTTTGAGCATCTTTCCATGTCAATAAATACATCTCTATATTCATATCATTTTGAATGACTGATCATATTCCCTTGTGTAGGTACACTACATTGCTATAACTAACCCTGATATAGTCTGAGTTGTTTCTCATTTTAGATTGTTATTAATAATGCTATAATTGGGCTAATTTATGTGAAGCTGGTGAAGCTTTATCTGTAGAGTCCCTCACTTCCTCAGGACCTATCCAAATGCCCAGGGAGAGTCTAGTAATTTTATAGTCATGATTTCATCTCTTTTTGTAAGAGGGGCCCTTTAAATAGCATAAGCTGCAGGGCCCACAAATGCTGGATGTGCCCTTGGCTGTGATAAACAGCCTCACACCCAGTTTTTCTTTGGCTGCATCTTTATTTCCTTACGATAAACTTCTGGAAACAGAATTGCTACATAAAAGCAGGTGCACATTTTTAAGATTCTTGGACCATGTGGCCGAAGAGTTCTCCAGAAAAGTGATCTAACTTGCCCCTCGACCCTGCCCTAGATGAGAACCCCCAGGACTGGGTGGTTTCCCCGGGTTTGTGTTTCTCTGTTACTGTGGTTCAGCTGTAGCTGCCATTAACGCCTTTTCCCCAACTGGGATCTAGACCTCAGATCCATGGTGGACTTCTTAGGGTCTGGGAACTTGGATGAGAAAAAAATTACATCTCTATTTTCATCATCAGCCGCCAATGACAATGCAATAGCTCTTTGCATCGTGAATGCGGGCCACAAATCCCTGTGACACTGGCCGCCCCGTCACCAACAGAAATCACAGCTGTTTCATGCATGCACATCAGTGCTTCAGAATTGCAATAGTTATGAGACCTGTCGCTCGATCTCCTTATTTAATGTGTTAAGAAAAAAATCTATTACCAAGTCACAATTATTTTTAAATATTTTTATAACTGCAGTCAATATAATTGATTTCCTTTGCAATCATATGTGTTGTTTGTTTTACACACTTGAAAACCTTCTTCCGAGACAGGGCACATGGGCTTCCTCAGACTGACAGGAGCCACTGCATGAGAAAGGTCAGACCTTTAGTGTATGGGACTCTTATCCTACATGATTTTGAAACTTCTGCATAATGTAGAAGGAAAGAAATTAAACTTTCACGACCCCTGCCAGGAGCCAGGCGCTGTGTCAGGTGTTGGGGTACAGAAGGACGGATAGCCCCCTGTCCTGGAGAAGCCCACCACCTCGAAGGGATGTGTAATTTCACAGCTCCTGCCACTCATTGTCCTGTGCTGCCCAGGTTTTCAGATTTTCAAGAATTTTAAGAAAAATCAGAAATCCAGATTTTTGTATGTTCCCATATAAAAAGCAACTCTTCCAGTTTTGAAAGGTTGGCAGCTAATTCAGATTTACATAAACCTCTGTGCGGGCCAAACGAAGCACATGCCTGAAGGCTAAGTCGACCCACAGGCCGCGAGTTTTCAGCCTCTGCTGCAGGAGAACAGAGTTCTAGTTGGGGTGGGACGAATCCACTCCGGGGAATAGAGCAGCAGGGATTCTGAGCCCCCACCCGCACTTCCACTCTGCTCCTGTAAACCAGGGAGAGGGGATTGGAGCCCTGGTCTTAGGAAGAGAGGAAACGAGAGAGGAGCCTTTTGGTGGGCACTGGGGGTGCCTGCAACCCGGGCTGGGCCAGGACAGGCCTGGGTGGGAGCAGATGCTACTCTGGTGACAACAATGAGACTGTTAAAGGATCGTATACCTAGAAAACCCAGCCTCTAGCAGAGAAACAAAAACCAAAAATAAATGCAAAAAACAAGGAAATAAATTTCAAAAAACCCATCTGAATTAAGAAGAATCGATAAGGTTATTGGATACAAGATAAATATACAAAAGCCAATTGCTTTTTTTTTATTTTGACAATAAACAGATAGAAATGGAATAATAGACACTTTCATAAGTTGCTTGTGGAAATGTAAAACATTACTGTCTTCTGGAAAGGTAAGTTTTATTAAAATTATACATAACATATATAATATCTGTCCACTGACCTGGAATCCCACTTGTAATGACTTAGCTGACAGACATAAAATTCCAAAAGACCACGGGCATATGAATGAGAATATTTCTGCAGCATGTTTATAGTTTCAAGAAAATCCAACAAAGTCAAAGTTCATCAATTGGTGAGCCACTAAATAGATTACGGAATACCCACACTATGGAATACTGAATACTCTCAAAAATGAATCAGAGCTATGTCAGTTTATTTGGGGGGGGTTTCCTTGAAGTATTATTGAGTAAAAGAAGAAGGAAGCAGAAAAATGTGTATATTATCCCATTTTTATAAAAGACTGATATATCCATATGTGTATTTGCATATAATTTAAATGTCCATGATTACTTAATTATGGGGAAGACATAGAGAAGGTTAGATACGAGAATGTTAATAAGTTCCCTAGGGTAAAAGAATAGGAGGGGAGCAAGCTGACATGGGTGATCAAGAAATGGAGGAGGGAGCCAAGCCCATCCTACATACCACCCCCTTCAAGGTTCAAAAGCAAGGGCCTTTGGAACTAGACTGTCCCAGCTTGCAGACTGGTTAGCTTCATACCCTTACAATGACTGACTCCCGAGAGCCTTGCATATCTTTCTGTATGATTCTGAAATGGGCAGTCAAGTCACTCAGGGGTGAGAAGGGCTGGGAGGGCCCCAGTGTAGGGGGCTGCTTTCAGTGCGTGAAAGCAAACCTCAGGGTCTAGAGTGTTTCTTTCTCTCTCCCCAAGCATTTAGGGAAATTCATGGGAGTGAGGGGAAAAGGCTAGAGGGAATGTTCATTCATTCACTCGCTCACTCAAGTCCTCCTGCAGTCTTAGCTGCCAGATGCCATCCTCAGAGAGGACTTCTGTGAGTCCACCCACCTCAATTCCGGCTTCCTATTATTTCCTGTCATGGTGCTCAGCATCATTTGCCACTCTGTCTTTATTTGAGCGTGTGTGCCTCTGTGTTGAATGCCTATTTCCCCCAATAAGCTGAGGGACCTTGTGCACACAGCAGCCAGCATGCTTTGTAGCAGGGGCTTAAGGAGTTTCAGTGGAATTCAGTGATTCACTTACTTATTCACTCTTTCATTGACTCGCTCTTTTATTCATTCCTTTATTCATTTATTTCTTTATTGATTCCAGAAACATCTCCTATTGCCAAGTGGGTTCTCCCCTGACGTGAGTCTTCCATTTTCTAGGGGGGCTATTTGGGAGGAGTGGGAGTGGAGACGTGACTGCGGAATTCCAGGAATAGGCATCCACAGCTTGGGAGAGGGAGATGAGGCCAAGTTCTCCAGAAAAGGATGGGAAATCTCAGAAGGTGAGAAGGTCAAAGCAGAAGCACTATAAGACCAAGGAGGACAAAGCTGGGCATAAGCAGACCCCTCTCTGCCCCACCCAGGACGGCCTCTTCGCACTGCCCACCTTGCTCGGGCGTTTGCTCCGTCTGGAAGAGCCTCTTCCCATCTTCACATGCTGAAATCCTACCCTTCCTCGCAGGGCGAGCCCAGATGTCCTCGACGTCCACCTCACTTCTCCAGCTGGAAGGCCACTCCCTGCTGCAAACAAACCCTGAACACAAAATCTGGACCTCCCTCACAGCCTGACCACTTCCTGCCTGTGCTGCGGTGCGGGCCCTCCCTCCACCCACAGGCAGGGGCTCTGTCTGGCTGTTCCCAGGGATCCCACCAGGACCCAGCACACAGGGGACACTCAAGCCATTCTGGCTGCTGTGCGCGTGGGGGCAGTGGTTATGACCCCATTTTACGGATGGGGAACTGGAGGCACAGACAAGTGGCTTGACTTGCTTTTGCCCCCCAAAGCAAAGCCATGGCAGAGCCTAGTAGACTCAGGCCTGCATCTCTGATCCCACAGGCAGGGCTTTTTCCAGGGCAGCTTGGTGGGAGGTGGGAGCTGGGTGGGTGGAGTGGGAGCTGGGTCCTGAGAACCAACAGGCCAGAGAGCTTTGGAGTTGGAGTGGCCGAGTTCAGGGAAAGCACAGCTGGGGAGGAGCCAAGGTATTTATTATGCTTAGTCTCCAGCTCCAAACAGAGCTGATGGATGGAGTTGCTCCAGTTCCTATAAACAGCTCGGGCCTCTTCCCCTCCACCCGACCCAGCTCCCAGTCGCCACAGCCCCAACTGCTTCCAGTAAGGTGGGGGAGGGGAGGGAGAGGACCAAGGGAGGAAAGGAGAGGAGAGTGTGGGGAGGGGAAAGGGAAGATAAGATGTGGTCTTAGGGGCAAAAAGAAACTGGAGGGAAGTAGAGGGAGGTGAGAGAAGATTGCTTTTTTGCCACACCCCTGGCCACTGCCGCTTCTGGGCAGCACACACCCTGACCCCCCTGAGTACCCTCTGTGTGTCACCCCATTCTCTGTCTGAGGGCCGGCCGTAATCCAGTTTTTAAGTCTTCGAGAGCAAAGGCCATCTTTTCAGGAAATCTTTTCTGACTCACCTTCTGCATTGGCTGTTGTGCCCCGGGGACACAGAAAGGACACTGGTGGGACTTCCAGGAACCCCCTGCCTGGTGGCAGATCAGGCAGATATCCCAATGGCTGTGGGAGGGACGGCCCAGAGCAGTCCTGGGCTTTGGGCAGCTGGAGGAGGGAAATCAGGGCAGCCTCCCCAGAGGAGGTGATGCGGACAGTGGTTGAAAAAGGAGGAGTTTGGCATGTGGAGTCTAGCTGGGTGAGACGTTTCGGGTGGAGGAAGCGGGAGAGAGCCTGGTGTTGGGGAGGGTCAGGAGGCAGGGCCACCTGTTGAGCTCACTGGCTCTGGCGTGGAACCAACCTGGGCCTAAGTCTCAGCTTTGAAACTTTTCAGCTGTGGGATCTTGAGTCTCAGTTTCTGTAAAATGAGGGAGATAATAATAGAAATCTCTTCAGAGATGATTAGAATTACATACGACATATATCCAATGCTTAGAGTAGGGCCTGACCAGAAGTGCCCAGTAGCTGTCAACTCTGAACGCCAGGTGAGAGGTGGCCAGAGAGAGATGGGACTGGAGCTGCCTACAGGACAGGGGCACAGGGAGCAGGCAGTAGATCCCAGGTCCTGTGGGATGTGCCAGCACAGGGGACTGAGAAAGCCAGGAGGCCTTGGGCCATGGGTGCCACCCCCCCCCCACCTGGCCTACCAGCCTGGCACCTGCAGGCCTTGTGCCTCCTGGAATGCAGCAGCAGCTCACCAAGTCAAATGGGCCTGGGGACCTGGCACCACGGGCCATCTGTGACGAGGGCCTCCCCTCTCTCTGGCACTTGCCGGATGCTCTGATGACCTAGTTGGCAGCTATGTCCATGTTTGGCTGAAAACAGGAATTTCTGCCTCACTGGGGTCTTGACCAGATGAGCAAACACCCCTGTTTGCCAGGAAAAGGGGTCAGGGCCTGACGGGCTCCCAGCTGGATGGGAGGACCACAAAGCCCTGGGCTGAGCTCAGCCCCTGCCACTGCCTTCCCTTAGGCCTTCACTGAGCACCTACTGTAGGCCATATACGTGCTTTCTCACTGCCCAGCCCCATCTGTGAAATAGGCATTTAAAATGTTCCTTTGGAGGTAGAAACTGGGAGCAAGGGTTGGGAGGTGAGAGGTCACAGACCAGAGAAGAAGCTGGGTCAGAGAAATCTCCAAGATGCTTGGGATGGGGAGGGGAGCAACCTTCATCTGAAACCTGGGGAGAGGAGGTTGGCACCTGCAAAGGGGGCAGTGTCTGTGTGTCAGGCAGCTGAGAAGGGGAGGTGGGGCCACACGAAGACAAGCACAGGGGGCTGTAAAGTGGGGGGCAAAGGAGAGCCCCTCCATGCTCTCTGAACCCGGCCTGTCCCCTACCCCAAGTGAGGAGGCCCTCCCCCAGACATAGCAGCCCGCACCCTCACCCTCCAACTCCCTTCCGGGAACCAGGAGTGCTTCTTCTGGACCCTCCTGACCCTTCTTCAAAGGTCAACCTTGAACTGCAGCCCAGCTGCTCACTCTCAGTTCTCTGCCCCCTGGGAGATCTTCAGTTCTCTAGCTTGGGAGGCTTTTGGGTATCTGGGTATCAGGGCTGAATGTTCAGAAGGGTCTAGGGCTGGAGATAGACCTGTGGGCATCATCAGAGCAATGGGGTGGCTATGGCAATGAGGGCGATTTCACTGCCAAGGGCAGAGGGTTTGGGACAGGAGTCCCGGTAGTTGCCATTCTGACGGGTCAAGGCAGATGAGCACACAGCAGAGCCTGAATAGCAGTGGCCTGAGAGGAAGGCAGAAACCGGGTGTGGGTCCTAGAGCCAGGACAGTGTGCCGAGGGGAGGGCCAGGTGATGGGGCACTGATCTGGCAAAGGACACTTTTGGTGACCTTAGTCAGGGCAGTGCGGGGCTCTGAGGGGCTGAAGGTAGCCCAGGTGGGGAGGGAGGGGAAGCTACTTCACCAAGAAGTTTGAAAATTTTATTTATTTATTTATTTATTCATTTATTTATTCATTCATTCATTCATTCATTCATTCATTCATTCGAGAAGGGAAGGGGAGGGGAGGGAAAAGGAGTGGGAGAGAAGTATTGATATCGGGGAGAAGCATTGATCGGTTACCTCTCACATGCCCCCAACTAGGGACCTGGCCTGCAACCCAGGCGTGTGTACTGACCAGAAATTGAACCCATAACCTTTCTGTTTGCAGGACAACGCCCAACCCGCCGAGCCACACCAGTTAGGGTGTACTTTATCAAGCAATTTATTCATGAAGTAGGAAAAGGGGGAAGGGTTTAAAGATCTTTCACTATTTTTAAGATGGGCATGACTTGAGCACGGCTGAGGTGTACGAAGAAGAAGCAACTAGAGAGGAAGGGCTGAGGAGAGAGGAATGCGAGGGAGCAAACGAGAGAGGCGGGGATGAGGACCGAGGGAGGGGCAGAGGGGCGAGCTCAGACAAAGGACTAGTGGTGAAACTACGGACAGCAGCCACTGTCTCAGCAGTGGGGTGCGGAGCAGGGTTTGTCGGATGCGAAGGGGATATGACTGGGGCTGAGGCCCGGAGGTCCAGGGTGGAGATGACCCAGAACCTCAATCTCCCACCTAGAGGTCCCAGCCTGTCTCCCCAGGGCTGCTCCATCGGGTTCAGAGGCCACAAAGGGAAGAGAAGAGGAAAGGGTTCAAGTAGCTGTGATGGTGCCGAATACCCGAAGCAAGGAGGAGGCTGGCAGGCCGCACCGTTTCTCCAAAATTATTCTTTAATACATTCATGTGGGTTATACGAAGAGCTGGTCCCGAGGCCAGGCTGTGGCCTGGCCCCTGGGAGGTGAGAGCAGCATTGTGTAGTGTTTCCGAAGACCAGGCACGGAGGGCCCACACCTGCCCCCACGCCTGCGAAGGAGTGTTCCACGCAGTGAGCACCTCTTGTCATGGTCCCGACCAGGACTGGGTCCCCTGTGCCACCCCGAGGCCCCTGGGGCCCAGGTGGGGCCAGGACCTCAAGTTCCAGCCCCGGCTCTGCCATCGACTCCCTGAGTCCTTGACCCTCTCTGGGCATCAGTTTTCTTGTCTGTAAAATGGGGCAGAGAAAGTGGAGTTTTCATTGTCTCCCACCTTGCCCAGCACAGGTGGGAGGTGCAGACAACAGCACAGGGTCCTGGGCTGACCCCAAGGCCCCCTTTCTTCTGGACAGCCCATGGCTGCATGCATAGGAGGGGCAGGTGTTAGATCTGGAGGGGGTTTACCCATTTTCATAAGGGGGGAATATTCCTGCATGATCAGGACCAGAAAGAGTGTTTGGAGCCAACATTATCTTGTGATGTGACAGCTGAGAGAGAAGGAAACCACTCAGGCCCACCCTCAACCCCTCCCCACCCACCACTCATCCCTGATGAGATCTGAATCTACTTTTTTCCACAGGCTCTGCTACTGATGTGTGCATCTCTGAGCAAGTCCCTTCCTCTTCCTAAGCCTCAGTTTCCCTATCTGTACACTGGGGAGGTGGGACTAAGTACTCTCACGCTCTTGGCCATGCTCATTGGACAATGGGAATGAGGGACTTCAAGAGCAAGAAGAGAAAAAGGAGAACCCACATCAGTCTGCAAAGGAGGGAATGAGGGAAAGTGAGGCAGAGGAGGAGGAGAGGGCTTGTGGCCATCTGGCTTCCCTCTGCCTGCCTGGGTGAGGAGGGAGAGGACCGGGTGGGGATAGACAGCACAGGATGCCCCCAGGCCCTGTCCCAGCAGCGGGGGCCACTTCCTGTCCACCTGACAGCCTGCAGTCCCAGCAGTGGCAAAGCCCCTGGAGTCAGGATGATGTGAGTCCGAACCTTAGTGATGGCATTTCTCGGCAAGGGCACTCTGGAGGGTGACTTGGAGCCACTTTTACAAAATGGGAAAAAAAGACCAACCTCAGATGGTTGTCATAAAGAGGCAGCTGCAGGCCTGGGTTCATTACAGCTACCAAGCCTGGTACAAAACAGAACCGGAGACCTAGGGCTCTAACTTTAAGTCCTGTCTCCCCCAGCAGGGTGGGGCTGGGATGCAGCAGGGAGTGGGGCTAGGGCAGCATTCAGACTGGTGCGTACAATGCGAGGGTGCCAGGTGGGGAAAGAGCCTGTCCAGATCAGGGAACAGAGGCCCCAGTGCTGGCCAGAGGCCAGGGCGACAGCCTCTCGACCCGACCTGCTGGAGCCGCCACAGCCTGCCTGATAGCGCCGGATCCAGGACAAACGGGTGTGGTGGCTCCAGTTCTCTTCCAGTTGCAATCTTCATGCTCCAGGGAAGCTGAGAGTCATTATCAGATGTAACAAAGAGTCTGCTTTGAAATAACGCAGATTATTTCTGCGTTATTTCTGGAAAGACCTCTTGGTCTTTCCCCTCCCTGGCCCTGGCTTGGCAGGGGCAGGCCGCTGCTGAGCCTCGGAGCCCTGGGCTCCGCTCTGTGTGGTCGCTACGTGGCTCTGCGACGGCCTCCCACCCAGACTGGGAGACGCTTGAGGACAGAGATTGTCTCCTTCACCAGTGTCCCCAGTGCCCAGAGCAGGGTGAGGCACAAAACAGACTTCTGGCAAAGATATGTTGATTCGATGGGCAAACCTCATTCTTTGTCACTCCCAGTATCGCTCAGCTTCCAGCTTCCACAGCTGGACCACATGTGTGGTCTGGGAGGCGTCTCACCTACCAGTGCAGCAGGAGGCAGAGAAAGGAGCCCTGGGCTGGGGGGTTAGAGACCAGGGTTCTGGGACCCTGGCCACTGTGTGACCTTGGGTCAGACCTCACCCTTCTCTGTGCCTCCAGCTCCCTCGCTGACCTGGAGGGGTATCCCGGCTGAGGTGATCTGCAGCCCGGCTTCTCTAGGCTTTGTACTGTTGGTTGAATTTCTGCTGGCGGACACAGCAGCAGGTGGCCAGCATGATGAGGATAATGGCAGAGACAAGTGCAAAGGTGAGGATGATGATGAGGTTGACGTTCTTGAGCCCCCCCTTTTCACAATCCTCGGGACGCACGTGGCTAAGGAACACCTCCTCCTGGGAGCTGAAGCGGCAGATCAGGTCCTGGGAGGCATCCATGTCCACACGGCCCTGGTGCAGCTGGGCCGCCAGCCAGCCATTGCCACAGCAGCTGAGCGGGTTCCCCTGCAGGTAGAGGCGCCGGAGGCTAGTCTCCAGGCCGCCCATGGCACTGCTCGGAAGCAGGCTAAAGCTGTTGTTCCTCAGGTCTAGCACCTCCAGGGACACTGCCTGCGTCCAGGCCGGCAGGCGGCTCAGGCGGTTCTCCGCAAGATTGAGCCGTTTGAGGCAGCTGAAGCAGGGCAGGTCCACCTGCAGGACCTCTAGCCCGTTGCCCTGCAGGGCCAGGACCTCCAAGGAGGCCTCCAGGCCCGCCAAGGCCCCTGTGGCCACATCCAGCCCAGGGTTGGAAGACAGGTCTAGCTCGGTAAGTGGTGTATGAAGGAAGGCACCTGCCCAGAGTGTCTCCATCTCGTTGTCCACCAAATTTAGGACTCGGAGGGAGGAGATGTCAGAGAAGTCCACACAGCCTGAGGGTTCAGGACCACCTAGCCCCCCACAGGGGCTGACCCGGTTCCCCTGCAGGTTGAGCCTCTGTAAGCTGGCCAGACCAGCAAAGGTGTATGAGGGCAGGTCCTGCAGGGCATTGCCCTGTAGGAGCAGCGTCCGCAGTGACCCCAGTGCTCTGGTGCCCAGGTCCAGCACCTCCAGCGCATTGTAGCTGATGTCCAGGAGCACGAGGCAGGGCAGGGAGCCCGCACGCCGGGCCTCAAAAGCCCGTAAGCAGTTCCGGCTGAGGTTCAGGAAGCGTAGGGAGGTCAGGTGACCGAGAAATCCCTCAGGGACTAGCTCGATCTCGTTGTAGCTCAAGTCCAGATTCAGGAGCTGGGAGAGGGAGTGGGTGCTGGCATTCCAGCTGGGGTTCGAGAGGGGCAAGGCCGACCAGCCCTCGGAAGGTGCATGGATGGCCTTGCTGCCCTGCGGCGGCCCCGCAGGGAGCCGGATGAGGTTGTTGGACACATTCAGGTAGATAAGTCTTGGTAGTGCCACCAAGTCAGGAAGGTGGAGCAGTTTGTTCTCTCGCAGGTCCAGCCAGGTGAGCTGGTACCCGGCCTGGGGCTCTGGGGCCATCTGAAAGGCCTCGATACTGTTGCAGCTCAGGTCCAACACCCGAAGCTGCTGGAGGCTGAAGTCGGAGATGCAGGTGAGGGAGTTCCTGGAGAGGTTGAGGTGGGTCAGGTGGGGCATGGCCTCGAAAGTGCCGTCCTCAATGTCCATCAGCACATTGCTATGTAGGTCCAGCCACTCAAGTGCAGGTGTGCCCCAGAAGGTCTGGCGGGTCAGGCGGGTCAGGCTGTTCTCCGCCAGCGTGAGGGTGCGCAGGGCTGGCGCCTCCCCCAGCAGCTGCTCCACCAGGCCACTGTACAGGCTGTTCCCAGACAGGTCCAGGGACTTCACGTGCAGCAGGGAGCCCAGACCCCCAGTGCTCAGCGCCAGGTGGTTGTGGGCCAGGTTGAGGTGCTCCAGGTGGGACAGGGCCTGGAAGATGCCTGGCTGGAGGAAGCCGATCTCGTTGGAGCTCAGGTCCAGGTGACGAAGCGCCGTGTAGTAGCCCAGGGGCAAGGTCAGGATGCTCTGAAGCTGGTTTCCAGACAGGTCGAGGGCCTCGATGTCCCTCGGGAGCACTGAGGGGACCTGGAGTAGGCCAAGGCACTGGCAGGAGACCTCCTTGTTCACCTGGGGTGGGGGGAGGCAGGGACAGCAGCAGGCATGAGTGGTTGCAGTAGGAGCTGAGTCAGACCTGTGCCTCTGGGAAGGGTGGCTTGACCCTCCTGTTCCTGCCCCTGCCTCTGGTACCGCACACAGTCCAGGCATTGGGGATGGACCCAGGGAAGTTTGATGGGTAGACAGAGAGGTGATAGAAAGTTAGAAGGACAAATGAACTAACAGAAAACCCTGTGCTGATTACTAATCCATTTTTCATCGAGAGTGACCCAGAGCCAGGGAGGAACAGAGCCGCGCTGGGACCCGGGCCTCCTGGGCGCACATTCTGAGTTCCCTGCATGGACCCTGGCAGTTACATTGACCCAGCTGGCGCCACACTACATTAACTACTCGGGGGATATGTTTCCAAAGGGGAAAACGCATTTTGTCCTCTCATCATCCATTTTGGCTTCTCACCCTCAGATCTCATCCAAGCCCTCATTCCACGGGGCACAGCCTGGGCTCCAGAGCCTGCTTCCTCAGCGACACCCCCCAGGGGTTTCCTCCTTTACGCTGCTGCTACCCACCCCCACCGCCCACCAGTGGCTTCACTTCCCATGGACCAGTCTGTATCTGCCCCTGGACAAGGGGTCAGGGTAAGGGGCAAGGGGAAGATGGCCAGGGTCCCAATCCACATTCTTTAATGACAAGGCTGTGATTTTGCTGTGTGAGCCTCATCAAGTCACATTATCACTCTCGTTTATCACATTATCCAGAACATAACTCGCCCTTCCCCAGCACCTACTCAGCATCATCTCGCTGGACCTTCCCAAGGGCCCGCCCATCAATATGGTCACACCCACTTAAGAAACTCTGGCTCAGGGGGGTGGGGGGTTCTAACAGCACCCAGCTGGTGAGGAACAGACCTGGGTTTTGAACCCAGGTCTCTTAATAACCAAATGCCCCACTTTTGTCCTTCTATCCCGTGTGCCTTGTGGGGCCCAAATTCTTTCCGTGTAAATGCAGCCTTCCTCTCGCCTTTTCTAGCAGACCAGGAACGCTAGCCTTTCTCTGCTTGTCTGACTTCTACTGCCACCCAGCTCGGGTCCATTCCTCCCCCCGCCCCCATCTGCACTGACCCCTTCTGACCAATCCACCAATCAAATGCCTGGCGACTGTTCAAAAATTCCAGTCTGACAGTGCAGCCCTCTGTTTAAATCCCTCCAGGACAAACCCCAGGACTCTCTGCAGGGTTCAAAGCTATTTGGGGCCTCTGGCGGACTGTGCTCTCTCCTCCCGACCCGCTCTGGCTCGGCCCACACACAGTGACCATAGCCGACCACTGCCCATTGTGCCCCCCCAGCCCCACCTCTAGGCCTCCCCCTTGCTGTTCCCTGTGCTGGTTATGCCCTTCCCAACCAGAACTGCATGCTGAGCTCTGGGGGGTCCCCTCTACCGGGAGGCTTTCCCTGACTGCGCGCCAGGTCGGGGCCTCCTCTGGGCTCTCGCAGCCTCCGTGCTGCCTCTCTCATAGCTATGACCCCCTGGACAGTGAGCTCGGAGCAAACGGGGACTGGTGTGACTAGTGCAGATGCCTCAGACTTGGCCCACAGGAGGTGCTCAGAAAATTTTTTTAATGAATGAGTCACAGACATTATCAGCCTAGTAAAGGTGTCAGGGACTGACTCAATCATGTTTCTAAAAGGAATGATCCATAGATTCAGACTAAAATTAAAGACTGTTAGAACAAAATGGGTCTGGCTCACCCAATTCCCAGATGGGGAGAGTGAGTTTAAAGATGACAATGACCTGCAGGAGGTCACGGTGAGTCAGTGGCTAAGCCAGCAGGGCAGGAACACGAGCCTAGGGGTGCCCTTCCTGGCCCAGCTGCCGGCTTCCCCTCGAGATCTCCAAGGTGAGGTTGGGGAGGAACGGACTGCCCGCCATCAGGACTCCTCCTACTCCGTGCAGCGCAGTGATGAGTCTACTCAGAGGCCAGGGACACCCCCGCAGTTGAGCACCCACGTAAACCAGAAACCTACCCCGGCCACCTTGGCAGTCCTGCCTAGCTCCTTGTCACTTCCTCCCTCACCACCTCTCAGCCAGCTGGGGCCAGCAGGCATGGCCTCCTCATCCTGTCCTGGCTCCTGGACCATCCTGATAAAGCAGGAACAGCAAAAGGGACACAAACACAATGTCTCTGACTGGAGGGCCGGCTGTGAGTCAAGCTCGTGTGATGCACAGATCCTTGCCTCATTTAATCTTCTAAGACGCATTGACTCCATGGTACCCCCTAAGGAAACTGAGGCTTGGTGAGGGGTGGCTGCTCCAAATCAGAGAGTCAGAGGCTCAAAACTACCTTTGCAAGTTCTTTTTCTTTTTTTAAGAGTTTTTGAATTTTTATAAAAGATTTTATTTATTTATCTTTATAGGGGAAGGGAAGGAGACAAGGATAGAAGGGAAGGAGAGAAGGAGAGAAATATCAATGCATGGTTGCCTCTCATGGGTCCCCTACTGGGAACTGGCCTGCAACCCAGGCATGTGCCCTGACTGGGAATCAAACCACAATCCTTTGGTTCGCAGGCCTGCACTCAATCCACTAAGCTACACCAGCCAGGGCACAAGTTCCTTTTCTTACTGCTGCTCGCAAAGTTGTGACCACAGGGCCCTCAGCTGGTTGAGCCCCTAAGCTGATCGTTCAGCACAGTAAACAGCACCAGCGGCGCCTCCCAGGCATTTAGTGTGTGTGCGGTGGGGCGGGGGCATTGTCCTGTGCATCACATGTTATCCTACAGGCAAGCCCATACCCTGTTTGACCTCTGGGTACTCAAAGGCTCCCTGGGCCACCAGCCCCTGAGAGTTGAGTGAGGGCACAAAGCCGGCCAAGCCCAGAGCCTAAGTCTTGCTTTCTGGAAACCCTGGTGCCCAGGACCCCTGTCAGAGGCCCAGAGGAGGCTGGCGGTGGGTAGCACTGCACTGGGCCACCCGGCTCTCCAGGTTAGTCCAGCGAGGAGCTCTGGGGCCAGGGTGGCTCTCAGCTCTGCACTGCCAGGGCACCACCACTGCCTACGCCTGGAGCCCCAGCGAGACTGACATGCCCAGGAAGGAGGCTTGGGGGAACAAGCCCTTCGCCAAGTTCAGAGCTTCCCTGGACAACCCTCTGCCCACTCTCTCTGGGATGTCAGGAGGCCACTGCCCAGATTTTTTTTTCCTTTTTTTGAAGGGAAATGGACTTGCCACCCAACTCCATTTTATTGCCTGCACAGAGAAGGGAGAAAGGGCAGTAAAATCACAGGCATCTGACAGTGTCAGCTCTGGAGAGCTGGGTTCAAAATCTGCTCTGCCCCTTCCTGTCTGGAGAAACTGGTGGGCCACATCTCTTCCTCAGCCTTGGTGTCCTCAGCCAAAAAGAGGAGTTCTGGGTGGAAGAAGAGGAGAGAGAGCCCTCGACATGGTGCAGGCACCTTGCAAGCCCTCGAAATGTGGCAATTTTGGTTTTCCACCCTTTAAAAAAACACCACAATTCCTTCTATGGTAGTCCAGAAAGTACTTTTATCTTGTTTTTCCCCAATCCAAAGCTTACCCAGTTCCCTTTCCAAAGCTCACCTAGTCTCCCTTCCTGCTAGGTGGCCAGGACCCCTCCTCTCGCTGAGCCTGCCTCCCCAGGTGGTGTGGGGCTGCATTAGGTGATGCCTGAGGCCTTCTCTGCCTGTTCCGCTGGGTCCCGGGAGCCCCAAAAGGGCTCTAAAGGGCAGGAAGTGAGGTGAGAGGAGCAGGACACTGAGCCCCTGGGAAGGGCTGCCGGGACACCCAGCCTCCCGAAGCAGCCACCCTTTCTGTGTCAGGAGCTTCCAGTCCCAGGTCCAAGTTCAGCTGCCAGAGGGCCTGTCCCTGCCCCAGCACAAACTCCTGGGGTGACTGCCCAACCTCACGGGTGGACCTCGGTGCTCCCTTTTCCCTGTACCCTACAGGGTGACCATAACTTCAGGGCTAGTCTCCCTGGCTTGGGGCAGGAAAAAGGAGCAAAGTGAATCGAACCTGGCCCCCATCCTCAAGAAGTTCCTGGTCTAACAGGTGAGACAGCCTAGGGCCCATTTGTCAATTGCACTGTGAGTTCGACATCGACATGGAGGAGAGTTTGGGGCTGTGGAATCCCAGAAAAGGAAGCAAAGTAAACCAGGTCAGCCTGAGATCAGAAGGGGCGTCCTGAAGGAGGCAGCAGCTGACCTAGGCAGTAATGAGTGAGAGACCTCCCGGCAGGGATGTGGCAGATGGGCCCAAGTCAAGGAGCCCAGTTAGGAAAGGGGATTTGCCCCCAGCAGGGACCCAATCCAGAAAAGCCCCTCCCAGCTGGCCACCCTAAATCCTGTATCACCCAGCTGGACCCACTGGCCTGTGAGAGCAGTTTGGGGGAATGGAGTCCAGTATTGGCCCCTCTAGTCCTAGGTGAATGAAATGACCTTGGGCAAGTCACCTAACCTCTCTAGGCCTCAGCTTCCAACTCTGTAAAATGGGAATGATGGTACTTACCTGGCAAGATTAATAGTAAAAAAGGTACTTAAACATTCTAGCAGGCGCTAATCAAATGCAAGGTTTAAGTGCTTTCCCTTCCCTCTTCTGACTCCTCTAACTTCTGGTTTCTGGGGCGGGGACGGTAGAACCCCCTAGGGCTGGGAGGTGGGGAGGTGGAGCTCACCCTGCCTGGGCAGGGCTTCTTACCGTCTTACAGGGCACCTTGTCTCCGTGTGGGGAGGTGGCCAGGCCCAGGGTCAGCCCCAGGGTCAGCACGGCCAGGAGCGGCAGGATCTGGTGGCTCATGGCTCTGCCTAGGGCAGGGAGGAATGGGGAACACTGTAAAACCTCAGGCTCCTTCCCACGGCCAGGCCCCCCGGTCCTGTCTGCGCCTGCACTCAGGAGCCCCAGACCACAGCTGCATTTGACAATAAGGTGCGGTGAATGGGGCGCCTTGTGAAGCGGGTGGGGGAGCCCCATCACAAAGGGCCCTCCAAAGCCAAGCAGATAGACAGGAGTTGGGCCATTTTCCCCCAGCAAGAGTTTTGGTATGGTATTTTTTAAAAGACTTTATTTATTTATTGTTAGAGAGAAGGAAAGGGAAGGGGAAAAGAGGGAGAGAAACACCAATGTGTGATTGCCTTTTATGCGCCCCAACTGGGGACCTGGCCCGAAATCAGGCATGTGCCCTGACTGGGAATCGAACCAGCAACCCTTTGGTTCACAGGCCAGCACTCAACCACTGAGCCACACCAGCCGGGGCCCCAGCAAGAGTTTTTAAGCAGTGGGTGACATGGTCAGATTTGGGTTTCCGGTGACCCCACCTGGTAGAAGACACCTGGAGGGAGTCAGCAGGAGGCAGAGGGGCCCCACCGGGTGCCCTGGGCCGACCTCGGGGCAGATGAGTAGGGAGCTGGGCCTCCACCTTCACTTCTACCCAAGCCACAAGCAGGTCACCCTATCCTAACTCCTCTGACCCCAAAAAGGTTCCTCAACCCCCCTCCCGCCCTGGACTTTTATTTTGCCTATTTTCTTTTGATTTTCTGATTCTCATGCCCCTGCCATTGTTTGAAGCCTGGGCCCAGAGCCTGGACAGGAAGCCCACTGGGAGCTCTGCCCTGCCCCCAGCATGTGGCTGTGAACTTCCCCAGGAGCTGGCTGCCAGGCCCTTTACTTTCACTGAAGCCACCGCGTGTGCCAGGGCAGGGGACGCTCAGGCCTGCTGGACCCCCCCTTGTCTCTGTGAGCAGTCAGGGTGAGGCTGAGGGGGAGCATGGAGGCCCTCGGCAGGACGGAGTCCCAGGACTGCCAGGGGCTCACTCACCGAAGACCTGGGCCAAGGGCTAGGAATACACAGATGAATCCATCAATTTCATTCATTCATCCATCCATCCGTCCACCCGTTCATTCATTCATTCACTCACACTTTTACTGAATGCTTCCTCACATCAGGCTCTGTGCTGGGAACTGGGGACATAAATAAGTGCACAGAAGTGACCATAGTACCTACAGAGCATTGAGAAGGAGGGGCACATAAAGCCCTCCAAGAGCCCTGGACTCAGAGTCACTTATATCCAACTGTTCCCTCTCACTCCTTCACTTCCCTGTTCTGTGGCCTTATGCAAATCACCTTACCTCTCTGAGCCTCAGTTTCCTTTTCTGAGGTTAATGCTGACTTCATCAAGTTTTGTTGAGGATCAAATGAGATACAAGCCACTTAGAGAGCCCTTACTGTGTGCCAGGCACTCTCCTCCACCCCCCCCACATGTATTATTACCTCATTTAATCCTCACAGCAATCCAATGAAGTGGCCCCATGATTACCATCCCCATTGTATAGACAAGGAAACTAAAGCTCAGAGAGATTAAGAAACTTATCCAAGGTCTCACGGCCCACAAGTCTGGCTGCTGCCTCTGTGCCCTCACCCTCTGCTTTAAGGTCTCCCACCGGTGCTGACCGAATGAGTGCTGAATGGTGACTGAGGGTGCTTCAGAAGGGGAGGCATCTATAGGGCCTTTGAGAGCTGGGCCTTTCTGCCGGAACCCACCAGTGTTTCTATGAGAAATTTTAAATCCAGGTGGCTGCCCTGAGGTCCTCTGGTGCTCCAACAGTGGTCTTTTAAACCCGGTCCCCTGGGCTCCCCTGGGCCGTGGGCCTCCACCCACGGAGAGAGAGAAGAGCTGCTCTCTCTTCTCACCTGCATTACAGGTCAGGCTTTCACCGGAAATTTTGTTCTGCTGTTTAAAAAGCAGAACATCACCCGCCTCTGCAAGCCGGTGAACTCGGACTTGAGAGGAAACCCCTCAGCGGGGCCTTCGAGGCCCTGGGGAGTATGTCGTGCCCAGCCAGCTCCGCTCCCCAGCCTCGGTCTTCACCGTCCCCTCGCCCGGTCTGGGCCCTGGAAGCCTGCTGCCTCCTTCAGTTCTCAGGGCCCCTTTACAATGCCCCAAACCGTCACCTCCTCCCTTCTCTTGTGCTGAATACCTCCTTATCCTTCGGGTCTCAGGCGAGATGTCCCTTCCTCCAAGAAGCCTTCCCTGGTTCCCCAAGTCTGGGCTAGGTGTTGGCTCTTCCTCCAGGTTCCCACAGCCCCGGGGCTTCCAGTGGGCAGGGCGCCGAGCACTCTATGGTTTACCCCGGGGGGGTGCCCCTAGGGCAGAGGGGGCTCACTCTCCTTGGGGGCCCAACACCAACCACTGAGCAGGCGGGGGAGACACTGTGAATTGACATGAGGAGTCTTGGTGACACGGGGACACCAGTGAGAGCAGTTGCTCCCTCTAACTCTCCCTTCCCCTCCCTGCCACACTCCTTTTTGTCAGCAGCTTCTGCCTGTTCTCTCTGAGAAGCAACCCCCAGATCTGCCCACCTCCCTCCTCCATCATTGCCACAGAGACGCCACCATGACCCTGGGCCCGGACCACAGCAACACCCCGCTCCCACCCTGACGCCCCTGCAGTCTGTCCGACACGAAGCTGCCAGCGAGGCATTGTTAAATCGGAGATCCAATCACAAACCTCACTGCTGACAAACCCCCAGTTTAATCCAGGCTCTAGGCTTCTCCCCTCTGACTGGTCTCCCATCTGCCCTTCCCTCAGCAAGCTCCAGCACTCGCCATTCTTCTCGCCGTTCCTCGAACACAGAGAGCGGGTTCCTGCCTCAGAGCCTCTGCCCTGCTGTTTCCCCACCTGCAACGCTCTTCCCCTGACCCACGCAGGCTGCACAGTTTTCATCGCATTGATCATTTCCCGATAATTAATATTTTATTCCCTGAAAACAGGGGTCTATGAAGTGGTGCTCACCACAGGTCTAATGAGCAAACAGCAGAGCGAGGGGTAGGTGCTCTCCCGAAGTGGGCTGAGAGTAAAGAGCAAGGTGAGGACAAGCAAGGGCCCCGGCTTAGCAGAACCGGAAGGCGTCGCTGTGCAAAGGGGCCCTCATTTCCCCCTCCTCTGCTGCCAAATCCCACCCCACCCCCGCGGTGGGCATCAGAGCATCCAGCGGAGACGATCCCTGTGCCAGTGGACCTCTGCACTGGCATCTGACAGGAGGGGGCCCCTCAGCTGTGGGCATCCATCAGCAGTACCCAAAACAAAGAGTGTTGAATTTGAGGGCAACTCACTCTCAAGAGGGAGGACTGGGTCTCTTAGACCCAGGCTCACAGCCAGACTCCACTGCTCTCCCCAGCCTGTTCTCTGGGGCAAGTCCCTTACCTCTTCGCAAGTCCCTTATCTCTTACTTGTCCCATTGGTCAGGTAAGTAGCCTGGTGTCCGTTCTGCTGCAGGCTACCCCAGCCACTGCGATGATCAAGCCGAGAACACCTGCGAAGGTGCCCTGGACATGCATCATCTTTTTTGCTGGGAACAGGCATTGTTTGCAGGGCTGAACAGCCCAGGAGAGGTATGCTGAGAATGGAGGCCTCAGGCCTGCAGATAAGAGGCCCAGGCAAAAGGAGGAAAGAGATAGGAGTCTGCCTGGGAGAACTGTCAAACAATATCTGTGTGTGTGAGAGAGAGAGAGACAGAGAGATAGAAGGGCAGAGGAAATGGGGGGGGCAATGCAATGCCTACTATCATAAATAAACCCATCCATACTACTTAAGGATGTCAGACACTCTTCTAAGTTCCTGACCTATATTATCTCACTTGGTTCTCACAACAAACCAATAACGTAGTTAACTATAATTTCCATTTTGCAGATGAGAAAAAAACGAAGGCTTAGAAAAATGAAATGATTTACCCTGCACTTACCCAGCTCCTAAGCATTTGGGGATATAGCCCAGGTCTGTGTGACCCAAATGCTGTTTTCTCTGGCAGGGGCTGAGCTGCCTGCCCCTTTTAGAACTGTCCTCAATTTGCCCATGAGTACAAGGAGGCTCAGAGAGGTGACCTACCCAAAGCCACACAGTCAGTGCGTAGAGTCAGGACCAGAATCCAGCCTGCCTGCGTCCAGAGCAAACGTTCCCACTGCACCAGGCCATGATGTCCCCTCTAGCCCTCTCTGATGACAGCCCCACCCAATGTCCACCAGCTGACAGACTCATAGTGCTTGGTCTGGGGTGCGTCCCCGCTCCTCTCAGGCAGGATCACCCGCCGAGTAGGGCCCCCCTACACTGCAGTGATTCACTAAGGGCAGACGTGTGCATCCCACAGGGGAATTAGACTTTAACCCAAAGGAATGTGGCTGTGATGGTGGAATTTTAGGCAGCCGGGGGGCAGGGGTTGGTGGGGGGCTCCCTCACATCTTACCACCCATGAAGAAGGTTGGCTTCGGAGCCCCTTGGAGAGAGATGGGGGCCCCCTGCCAGGTGGGCAGGCTCTCTGGTGGGGTGGGATGGAAAGCCCCACCCACGGCTGGGTCAAAGGATGGTAGATCTGTATTCAAATCCTGATTTGCCTTCGACTAGCTCTGTGTTTCCCCCAAGTACTGGCCTTTCTGCCATTATTTTCCCATCTGTCAAATGGGAGCAGGGGCCCATTTCTTTCGGCGGGAAAGATCAGTTGAGACAGGAGCCTAGGAGACCTTTGCGGCAGCAGGCGAGTCAACCCTGGGTCCACTTGCGAGGTGGGGGTTACGGCGGGAGAAGGGGATAGACACCCTGAGGGCTGGCTCCAGTCCAGCTCCACTTCTCCTGCTCTAGGAGGGCGCGGGACAGCCGGTTCCCTAGAGGGCTGGCCAGCCTCGCCGCTGGGCGGCTCCTACCTGGCTCAGCGCGGCCGCCGCTCCTCTCCCGGGCAGCTACTGCACATTTTGCGCAAACCTGCCCCGCGGTCCCACCCCGCGCCAGACCTCGGGGTCACGGCCCCAGGAGGCGCTCGGTCGCTCCACTGCCCCACGGGAGCCCGACCCGCGAGGGGGCGGCTCGAGCTCCAATTTAAATACCTCTCCTGCCCCACCACGCCCCCCCTCGGCCAAGCCGCGGGGTCCTAGCGCCCGGCCGACGCTTCCCCGGCAGGATTTGGTTTGTCCGGAACCCACGAGGGAGCGAGGCATCAGCTTTATGCAGAAACACCGGCTGGGAAGGGGCGGATTGTAGGGGGCGGGATGAAAGGGCCGGAGAGCGGCGGGTCGCTGAGGAAGCCCAGTGGGAGGGAGGCCGGCCCCCGGCCGCCGCACGTGCAGTTCGCGGCCCCGCGGAGTCCGGAGGGGCGGGTGGCTCTACGAGCCGCAGGTCCGCAGAGGAAATCCGGCCTGGCCCCGATTTTCCCGCTGCTGGCGCCGCTGCTCTTAGAACGGTGGTGTTGGAGGGGGGTGGAGCGGGGCGGGGAGCGGGGCCGGGGGAAGGAGGGGGTATTGCGCAAACAGAAGTGACCGCGAGTTTGAACTCGGAAGGAAAAGACCCTTCGCAGGCCCTGGGACGACCACCGAGCGGGTTCCCCACACCGCCGCAGTCTCCTCTGGACAGTCCAGGCAAGTCGCTTCCCTTCTGGATGTGCTCTGGCATCCAGACCTGTCACCGACCCTTGAGCTGCGCTGTGAAATGGTACCATCAAGTTTCCAGGTTTCAGACTGAGAAACTGACAGCGAATTTAATAAAAACCAGTGGTCTGCGATTGGTAAGATCCCCATTTATATCTGGGGATAAGGAGTCTCAGAAAAGTTAAATGGCATATTCAAAGTTATACAGTCCATAAGGCATTTGAGCCTAATTTGTCCTTAAAGCTAATTCCAGGCCAATCTGAGTGCCCCTTTCCAGGCACCATTTTTATTGAATTGTTTCGAAGTGCCCTGCAAAGTAGCAGGATGGCATTACTGTTTTTCATATCAGAGACTGAAGCACATCGTCCCCAAAGCCACCCTCTGTTTTAGATGCCTTGTCCCTACCAAATCACAGGCACATGCCCTGCTGCTGTGGACTCGAGGTCGGGGTGCTTGCAGGAGGAGGGTCACAGACGTCCTTGGGGGTCCTGCCTCTCAGGGTGGAAGGGAATTCTTCCACCGTGTTTCTCTTCCCTGATGGAGGGGCACGGGGTGCCCCATTTTACAGATGAGAACGTTGACACATGAAGCCTGTGGTAAATCCCGGTAAAGCTGGGCTTAGAAGCTGGGGTCCCTGCATGCTAGGTGACTGCTGTCTTTCTTGCCTCCTCTCTGGCTCACTGAGGGGGTGGGCCTGAGCAGAGGGGCTGGCCCAGAGAAGACAAGCTATGATAGCAGGTGGCCCAGGGCCTAACCTAGCCTCACAGGAGGAGACCAGGGAAAAGCTTCCCTAAGGAGGGGCCTAAGCTGCAATGAAGACGTGGGGAGGGAAGGTTGCCAGATGTGGCAGGGCATCCAGACCTCTGCTTCCCTCTCAGCCACCTGAGGCCTGAGATCTACGCTCATGGAAGTCTCAGCTGGTCATCCCAGCTCCCTCTCTGAGCTCTAGTGCCCATCTGGTCAAGTGGAACCTTGGTTTCTCTGTCTGTAAAGTGGTAATGGTAGTAGCTACTTCTCAAGGTTGGTGCCAGAACTAAGTGTAGTGGACTCAGCCTGGGGCCTGCACCCAATGGTTGTTAGGTAACTTCTCCCTGTGTTCAGCAATGGTTGGTGATAACCTCCACTATACCCTGCAGGCTTGCTTCCTTTTCCAAATCCTTATCCAAGAGGCCAATGTCCAGGAAGTGATTGCCAGCAGCCCTCCAGCATGGGCAGAACATGACTGAGTTGGATTCAGGCAGCTCCCGGCGGTCTTACCCAACCTGATCCCCCTATGCCAGCAGATCACTGCCTCGCCCTTTCCTGAGCTGCTGCCAAGCAGCAAATGCTGGGCAAGCCCAGGGCACTGGCTGTGGCTGGAGTCGGCAGGACTGGGGCCGCAGCAGGCTGGGGAGGGTGGCCCGCCTCCCCACACGCTCCTAAAAGCTACGAGTTACGGTTAGTTAGTTCATGGGGTTCCACCTCACTCAGTGCTTACCCAGCTGGGGCTCCCCAGAAGCTAGACACAGTTGGCCAACCAAGTGTGCCTACCTGCTGCAGATCCTCTTGGGACCGGGGGGTGGGGAGGTGGCTACAAGCTGGGAACCCCACGTGCTCGGCACCCTTCCCTTCATCTCTTTACTTCTTTAGTAGTCATGTGGCTGCGTGGCTTTTTTCAGGTTGCCTGATCTTTCTGACCTCAATTTGCTGATCTGCAAAGGAGCACTAATAATAGCACCTGAGGTCCTGGCTGGCTGTGAAGATAAAATGCAACAATGTGTATAAAGTCACGGTTTAGGGTCAGCCCATGGTCCTTGCTCAGTAACCATGATCCTTTCTCTGGTGAGTCCCGGTGAACCAGTAAATAAACACACGCAGGGCTGGCTTACCTTCATGGAGCTCCCAGTCCAGACGGGAGGCAGAGGAGAACAGAGGAGGACTGAGGCCTTGAAGGCCAAGTTTGGCAGTCTGAGCTTGATCTGAAGGGGGAGGAGGAATTGGAACTGAGCAGGATGGGATTTGTCTGGCAACCACGAGAAAGGGAGTTTTCTTTAAACGCCACCAAGGCCGGTGTGCTATCCAATGTTGCTTATTTAGCCCCCGCTCACACACCTCGGGAAACGGGGACTCCTGGGCAGCCCATCAGTGGGTAGCTCACCATGCTGGTATTTTTGCGGATCTGCTCCCAGTCCCACATGCATCCGTCAGTGAAAACAGGAGACACAATCTTTCCCTGTGCCCTTAGCAGTGCCATCCTGAGGTAGGAAACCCCTTTCAGGTACCAAGTCCCTCTCTGCTCAAGGCTCCCTGGGAGGATTTCACCTCAGGCAAAAGTGAAACCCAAGGGTCCCAAGTAGGAGCTGATGACCCAGGAAGGTAATGATGTGCATAACCTGTGTGACCTTGGACAAGCTGCTACCTGTACAGCTGGAGTGAGAAAGATCGTTGCACCTTAGACCCCAATTTAGTCTCCACTACTCATTGGTGAATAGCCACTGCAGGCTAGCCCTTCATCTCATGGGGCAAATTAGGGTAAAGACAGCCACAGCCAGCCTTCTGGTTAGGTGCCTTCATTCTCAGCTACTCCTAAGAAGCTGAGCCTCAGAGAAACCAGGTAACTGGCCCAAGTCACGTAGCTCCGGAACCAGGGACTGAACCCAGGTCCAGATGCCCAGCCAAGATCTCAGTGCAAGGGCGTGGCTGTCCTCACTCCTTGCCCCTGCCCAGCACCTCTGTTGGGCCCCTGGGAGTCAGGAAGTCCCCCCATCAGCCCCTACTGGGGCCTTACGTTTGGGGGCAGAACCCTGGGTTCCCCAGTGCTTCCACCCACTCTCCCTTGCTCCCTGGGGAAATGGGGCTCAGACCTACCAGCTAGGGTCCACCTCCTGGAGGGGCAGTAGGAAAGGAGAGCGCATGTCCCTGGGTGTCACCATCTGTGGGGAGTTTGTGGGCCCAGCCAACTCTGGGTGCTTGGGAAGCACACACTCACACAGGCACTCGTGGGGCAGCCCCCGCTCCGGAGAAGAGCCGAAGTGTTAGATGGGAATAACGAGGGCTTGCAGACGGGCGCACCAGGCACTTTACTTGAATGACGAAGGAAAGGACTCTCATTGCCCGAGTTTTATAGAAAAGGGACTGAGGCTCGGAGGGATGCTATGACTTGTCAGTGGTCACACAGCTAACAGATGGGAAGGGCAGGGCACAACAGACATTCCCACCCAAGGCCTCAGGCCCAAGGCCCTCGGACAGCACAGCCAGCAGCGGGCTCAGCAGGTTTTCTGTTCTCACTGGGGTATGGGTCACCCCTCGCTGCTGCACCTGGAGCAACCAACACGGGCGAGCAGGTGCTGGTGAGGCCCTGTGCCCCCAGCTGCCACACAGGGGGCTTCCAGCCCTGCGTCCCGTTAGGGAGAACTGATGCCCAGGAGTCTGGGGGCTCCCCGCAGCCCCGGGAGAGCGAGGGGCTGTTAGATGAGAAAACTCGAGACTGGGTGAAGCGGGCCGGGAGGGATCAGAAGCGTCTCCACAGCACAGCTCCGCTGTGTCACGGACCGTGAAACCACAGCTCTCGCGCCCGGGCTGCTGGGAACTTTGAGCCACAAAACCTTGTCCTCCATTTTAACCATTTGAAGGTTAAACCCGATGTACCCTTATCTTGATGACTCGGTGTTATTGCTGTGGGCTTTGGCTATGGCCCACCATGTCACAAAATGTCATCTTCACTTTAGTAACAACAGCCAAGGGCCAGGCCCAGGGTGAGGCAGCAGCAGACACCGGTGCCTCTGAAGGCAGCACGACCAGAGGAAGGCCCGCCGTGCGGGGGGCGGATGGCCTCGGACCTGGGCAGTGGTTCTGCCACCTCCGGGGGCGGGGGGGATGGTGGCCCTGTAGACACCTGAGTGGAGGAGGAGTTGGGCCGGTGTAATTATCGATACTGTCTTCCTCTTGTGGAAGTTGGTGGTGAACTGAAGGGACCTGTTGGTGGGTGGAGCACCCAGTGACGGGAGACGAGACTGAGAGGGCGCTGAGCTGGAGGGCCTCTCCCTGCAGGCTCGGTGGTCCCAGAGCAGAGGTGGCCCGGGCTCCTTGCCCTCCAGCGAGATGGGGCGTCGCATGGTTGGGGTGCCTTGCCTTCAGAGGATCCCCGGAGGGCTCTTCCCAACTTCCCAACTTCGGATTCTTTGCCCTGCTGAGCTCCCAGAGGCTGTGGGCTCCTGTCCTCATATGAGCGGCCAAAGCCCCAAGGGCTGGCAGAGCCTCCAGAGCAGACTCACGTAC